CTTAAAACCTCCCACGACAAATGGACTTTCCAACACTAAAAGAATTTTTCACTTCGAACTAGTAGTTCCTGAGATTAGCGCGTTTAAACAAACAAACTCTTTAGCTATATAATATTTGTATACATTATATACTAGGATACATTATTAAAGTTGCAAATATTGTTTTGTTGCTGAAGTTGTTATTGATTGTTGGTGCTGGAGTAGTAAAATATTGATATTTTTTTTGTTTTTTTTATATATTTATTTTTCCTATATTTATTCTAATACCTCCAAGACCATGTGTACAAAATTTCATGATGTACGGTTCAGTAGTTTTTGCGTGAAAGCGTAACAAATATTCCTATGTTCACATTCATAATATTATATTAGTAACGGAATGTAGCATTAAAAAATACCAACACTAAAACACCCTTCTATGCCCAACCCCTAATTTTTAATAGCGATATTATTACTTAAATTTATATGTCAAAACAACCTTTGCCGGGGCAGTAATAGTATATAAGTATTTTATTATTGCATATGCAATAGTTGACCGACCTACTATGTGAGATAAATCTCATAAAAATCTTAAATTACATCGACTAAGCTCCTTTTAGAGCCTCACTCGAAGTGTAATGTTGAAGAAAAGCACGTTTTAATGAATTCCATTAACTGTTGTACGCTGAGTAAGGATCCAGGTGTCACTCGTCGTACTTTATAGTCGATGTTTCACAGAATTTCAGCACGTAAGTTTTATGTCTTGATAGAGTAAAAGGAGCTCTTTGAATTTATTACCCACGCTTTGTCTTTTTCTAATGGATTATTGGATTTCTTTAGTATCTTTAACCAATTTCAGTGCGTAGTCGTTTTGTAGTTACTATATTGACTAATAAATTTCAAGGGAAGTGGGTACGAATCAAGTTAGAATAAATATATTTTTTCTTCTGTTTGGTACTGAAAATACCTAAAAGAAAGTAAATAAATAAAACATATGGTGGGGTGATTAGTTGGATTTTAAGTACACTTATTTATTTGCATTTTTTACCTGTGGTCTAGCCGTTTAGCGCACCGCGCTTTACATCCCATGATTGCGGGTTCGATTCCTCGCACGGTGAAAACGATTGTATTCATGAGTCTGATTGTTTGTATATTATGTATATATTTCTAAAAAACTGTGTCTAATTATGTACATCAGTTGGCTTGTATACTAACAAGCTCTGCTTAGCTTGTAACTAGATGGCGCTGTATGAATTATCTACGGATATTAGAATTATTATTATTAATTTAGTTTTAATATAATATTAATCTAAGTACATCCAATTGTCTTGTATCCTAACACAATCTCTGCATTTCTTGGGACTAGATGGCGCTGTGTAACTTGTCCACGGATATTTATATATATTAATATAATGGTAGGTTGTCCTTACCGACATTCTTTTTGTAACGGTCACAAGTCAAGTAGGTATTTAAAAATTGACCTTTTATAGGGCTACTAAATAAAGATATATTACCGAAACCGTTGTGACCCAGCATTTGTCCCTTCCTCATTGATCAGAGCTGTCACTTATAAATTCATTACAAAGGTGAAATTCTTGGTCCCTGGAGGGTACTCGTTTACTCGTCGATTTAGTAGAGGCGCTGTAAATCTTATTATACAGGGTGGGAGGGGATTGTTGGTAATGGGGAATAGTGACGTGCGAATCTTCTTTCAAGAAAGAATGATCACGAGAAAGAAATCGTGCGTGCTTTAAAACCTCATTGTAATAATTAATATTACAAAAAGATGGACGTCTGATTACGGAACAAAAACATAAATATAGAGTTATTGATAAATAATTTATAAATATGATGTTTTTGAGGTAAAAATCTGTGGAACTAAAATTGAAACTTTAAAAGAAAGTGAAAATCATACGCGCAAATAAGCGTAAAAAAAATATATTAAATACATCTTCATGATTCAATTGCGCGCGCTCCTGATCTATATGTATATGCGTAGGTACATAATTATGGAGTTATTGATAATTCATAAATATAAAATGTGTTTTAAAAATATAATTAGAATAATAGAAGAAAGATATAGAAGAATGAGTGCGTAGCGATTTCTATGTTGATTGTCGCATGCCTCTTACTTGTTACACTGTAATTATTTACATAAAAAAAAACATCTATTAAAAAGAGCAACACACAAGTTTCTTGCTCATTCTTCTTGTGATGAATCTGCATTCCGAATGAGTGGTAGAATCAAAATATGACTATTCAAAAGTGCTTGTAATGAGTTTATTTGAATAAAGATTATTTCTATTTCTATATGTATGATATTAATCATTCGCGCAAACACGTGCGAAAGAGTGAATACAAAAAATTGTTCAATATAATCTTTCACGATTGCGCGCGCTGACTTTCCCGCGCTAAATCGCGCGCGCGCTCCTAATCGCGTGTGATAGAATGTGTCGTGTAAAGGCAGCTATTGCCAATAATGTACGTCAGGTCGATCTCCACGTGGTTCATTTAGGAAACGTAGTTAATTCCTAGTCAATTTGCGCTCCTGGCTAACTTTACGCTCGTCCTATCATCCTCCACTGATACCTTTAGCCAAAAAATCTTATTATACAAAGTCTATATATCAATACTAAAATAAATCAAATTTATAAAATGTAAATCTAATTTATAAAATTTTCATTGAAACACCAAATTAGTGCAATTATTTCTTTTATGCATTCAACATAGAAATAAATGAATGTTCGTTTAAATTTAAAAAAAGTCTGAAAGTCCCAAATGCTGAAAAATTAAACATTGATAAGTGTAATGGATCCGTGGACTGTATGGGTGTCTAAATGATGAAAACGGGTAGTTTATGATAATATGATATATTGAGATATAATTGCGAACCATCTAAAAGACAATGAAAAATCAAAAGTATTCGGCGGTCGGTCGCCAACAATAAGCTTAAAATATTGTATTTACTTTAAATAATAATGAAATACAATACATAATAATGAAATAAACGTTATATAAGACGAGAATGTATTTATATACTGAGTAAATATAGTATATTAATAAACGTATATATCAATAGTTTAGCTTACATATTAATTTAATTATTCGTATAAATCATGAAATACATTAGTTCAAAAGCCCAATACGTCACAAACAAAAACAAACATTATTACATTTCTGAACTATAATGTACAATTGAATATACTTTCCGCATACATTGATTATACTTTAACAAAAACTAAATGTAGTTCTAAAACATAAGACGTAAAATCAACTAACAAGGCTTGTTATAAAAAAGCGGGAGCGTCGTCTTTCTTCCACAGGCTCTCAAACTTATTTCTTTCACCGCCTACTATTAATTTAAAACATCGTAATTTGAAAAGTTCACAGACTCTTATTAAAAAGAAAATCAGATGAAGCATGAAAACTGTAATTTCTCTCTGTTTTTCTATTTCTCAACTAACATTGTTCGCAAATCACGGCGCTGTGGAAATTGTTGAACTGTCAACATTACTATTAGTAACATAATCCATATTGTTCTACTGCTAGATAAATATATATTATATATAATTAATGTTCAGAAACCTGTAATAGTAACAAAATTGGCAAGTATTTTATTTATTTTATTTCCACACTTACATCTATTTTTACAGGACATAGCCTAATACCATAGTGCAGCAAACATTATTTTTTAATAAATAAATTATTATTATAATAAATTTTTTCATCTCCATAAATTACGTAGTACAATTTTTTTTATATAAATGCCGACAATAAAAATTGTAAAAATAATTTGTTGCAATTATTATTTCAGCGTACTATTTTATTTTTAACAATCTTCGTCGATGGGATGTTAAGAATTCTAAATGGTTGTTTGTTCATATACCCGATTATTATGCGGCATTTCGTATATTCCTTCTCTTGCCCTGATGTGTTATGCTTCGTTTCCTCGAGTTTCCTACATTCTGTATATATGTGAATAGAAAGGAACAATATTCTTATTCAACCACTATAAGAAAAACTGTAATTCTAAAATTGTCTAAAAAATTTTGCCCAATCTTAATAATATTATAAATGCAAAAGTTTGTGAGTATAGACATTTTTTTACTTTTTATTATTTCATTGAATTAGTGCTAATCGGTGGTTTGTATTCACACACTTAAACTCAAATTGTAAGTAAGAATAAATTATTTAAAAGAGCAACACACAAGTTTCTTGCTTGTTCTTCTTGTGATGAGACAGCATTCCGAATGAGCGGTAGATTAAAAAAAAAAAATGTAATGACTATTCAAAAGTGCTTCAATGTAAGTTTATTTGAATAAATGATTTTCTATTCTATTCTATTCTTTACTATTTTTTTACGCAAAAATTACTAAACGAATTTTGATGAAACTTTTCAGTAATATAACTTATGTATTAGAATAACATATAGGCTATATTTTTTATTAAAATTTAACGTGAGTGAAACCGCTGGCACAGTTAGTTGATATACTTCCTCCTTCCAAAGCAACATACGGGGGTCGCTCGCTCACTTTGAGAAAAACTGACCTCGACCATGACGCAACTTGTTTCTGCTCACAAAAAGCGAAGTAGGGCTTATATAGAATAGTTCAGAAAATATTTCATTCGCTTTGTGAGTTTGGGCGAGCTTTGTCCTTCCGAATCCATAACAATGGCGCTAACAAAAAGACTTCAAACAAAGACGTCTTGTCTTAGATCAAAGAAAAATAATAGTTTATGAATTTTCCAATGAACTTTCGTAGTTTAAATGTAACAGATAGGCAGATTATTGTCTAACCTTGTCTTGTCATATTGTTTGTATGATCAATGAAGTAGAATAGAATACAAAAATGGCCGTTAATACTTGGATTTAGATATTAGATAATTTAGATATTTGTTGTAAATACAAAAATAATATATATATAGGAAACACCCAGGCCGATACAAACTATCATACTTATGAGTAGAAATATTTATAGCGACTTTGTTTTAAACTATGTAACAACAATGTCTTTTTTCACCAGGTATTGGAGGACTCCGAGCAATAGAGTTGCGGATATCTCCACCGGTCGTGCAGCGAGGTTCAGACGCGACCCTGGCCTGTCTGTACCAGTTAACAGATGCGCCGTTATATTCAGTCAAGTGGTACAGAGGGCGCCACGAATTCTATCGGTATTCACCCACCGAGACACCAGCCACCAAGATATTCCCGTTCGCCGGGATCAATGTGGACGTGAGTAGACTTTATTTTCACTTTCATTTGGTCCTCAAAGGCCCTTCGTACATTACGATACACATAAACACGATACGTTAGTTGAATAAATTCATGACTTATGGACGGCGAACAAATAAATAATTAGATAAATACAATTAAATTATTTGTTCTGCACAACTTCTATCGTATGAGGAAAGTAAGTATAATTGTAAAGTATTATAGTTTAGGGGGGTCCGGCGTGGTATTGGAACCATACTAAGTGTCTGGCAATTAGCACCGCAAGTTATAATATTGCTACGAACAATATATGAAAAAATGGAGTTTCTTAAAATAACGAATTTGATATGAAAATTTTTACACCTTTGTTACCTGTTACCTGCCAAAGGAACCACAAATTAGGTTTCATGTTTGGGAACCTGTGTTAGGGATACACATACAAGAACTTTCACATTTACTAATAAGACGTATGTTTTACCGTCGTAGGCTCTTGTTCTGTATAACATATCTTCTTAAGGGGGTCTTCCTATGTGATGGGTTGAAAAAATCGATTTTTTTTTTTCATAAATTGCTCCCTTAACATGTCTAGAATACGGTAGTAAAGCGATTTTAGAAAATTCGAAGTCGTTTTAAAGATACAGCAGGTAAAAGAAAGAGCGGTTCGGAGCGGTGAGTTGGCAGTTAGAGACCGGGCCTATTGTGTACCGTCGGCTTTATACCTGGCCTCCCTTTTATTAATATATTTGTTTATACAAGTTTAGACACGTTTCTACAGACTTAAACAGAAATTTCTATTGTTATAATATTTTACCGAAGTTATTTTAGTCTTGGTTGAACTTCGAAGAGAGCAACAGCTACAAATTATTCTTTTTCATAATGAGTGGACGGAAAGGAATTACGAGTGGAAATGTTCATCCTGGTCGTAGTAAAAGAAAGTTTAGTGGAAACCGTTTTACCCACCAAAATGATACGGTATTTACATCAGCTTCGGCCAAAAAACTTAAAAATAACATGAACATGAATGTTCCCATCGCTTCGAATTTCGCATATTGCATTTTGGAGTTTGTTTCTGTATTTGCTGCAATCTCTGAAATAGTTATATGTAAAACTTGTAAAAGTGACGAAAGTGACAAAACAATAACGAATCTTTGAATTCTTTGATTTGGACTTTCGATCCTAAACATCTTCATTCTGGTCCCAAAGTTGTTGAAATTGCTAGCTACTTAGCAGTTATTATCTTTAATGAAGGTTTTCAAGGTATTTTAAAAGTTATGTCGATTATGGGATGCCCTGTTGGTCGTGAAGCCCAAGCGTATGTTGAGAAACGGGATGAAAAGCGAATCTTACGCTCTGAGCGGCGCGTAAGTGATGTCGTTAAACAAGCCAGGATTGACTCAAGAGCTGAACAATCTGCTTTAAAAGAGTTTCACGAGGAAGAGGAAGGAATACTCTATGGACCAGGCATCGCCGATTGAGAGTAAGTTGATATTTTAATAGTTTTTAACGGACTTGAAACTTTAAACGCGTTTTTCTCAAAACTGTGTTTTTCAAACTTTTCTCCATTGTATCTCAGAAACGGCTGGACCGAATTACTTGAAATTTACAGGGCACACTCAATATATGTAAACGCATGGAATGAACTATTATCAATCGAAAATTTTCAAAACTTCGATTTTTTTATAGCAAAAAAAAAAAAAAAAAACGCCTAATTTGCAACTTTTATTTCAAATGTCTATCAAAAATCCAATTTTTTTTATATTCATTTGATTATAGGTCATTCCGTGCTTTTAAGCCTACAAATTAAAACGCCGTTTTTTTTTTTTTTTTCAGATAAGCCGATCAGCCGGAATCGTGGAGGAAGTGGGAGCTCTTTTTTTCGAGGCGGGGGTGTTCAGAGCGCTGTAACTCTAGTTTGACTGAATATTTTTAGCTGAAATTTTATATTTATACTGTCCAAATATGTGTTAATAAATGATAAAAAACTTGAAGCTCTAAATATTTACTGGTCGTAGAAAAAAAATCCTAAAATATCCCTAAAAAACAGGCCGTCACATAGGAAGACCCCCTTAAGTTTATTATAATTTTTATGATTTACATTATCTATTACACAATAACTAACTATGGTGGACGGGATGTGCAGGTGCTCAAAATCTATCGCTGTCAAATTGAGAATACTTTTATTTCAATAGCTGCCTTTACACGGCACGTTCATCCACGTGCGTTAAGAAAGCTCGCGATTTACAGGGAGAAAAAAAATCGCGCTCAATTGCGAGATATTGTTTTAATCTATTTTTTTATATTTACTCTTTCTAGCGTGATTGCGGTTGCTTCAGATAATAATAATAATCATTCTTTTTTATCAGTATTTAAATTCGTATAGTAATTGAAAGGATTATAAAAAACAAAAAAATATAGAGGCCGATTTGACAATTATTTATAAACAATATTAACACACGTAAAAAGTGATTGTATATGATATTAGTGAGTATACTGATCTGTTATTTTATTTCATTGAAATAAAAGTTGCAGCCTGTAGAAAATCTGTAGTACAATGTGCGAAAACCGGATTAAGCGCAATATAATCTGCGACGACTAAACTTTGAAACTCGGGTAGCATACTAGTATCTCACAAGTATTGTATTGTAAGAAGTACCTAACAGCAATTTGTATGTTTCTTGTTATGTATTGAAATAAAATACGATCCTGCACGAATGATTTGATATAAAAGAACATTATTGTAGGGTAAACAGTATAGTGATTGCCCATTTAAGGAAATTATACTGGTTTTATATGTATATAAATGTTAATTAAAATAATAGGTAAGTGAGTGTCACCTCTTTGGTAACATTAATAGTTTAGCTAAGAGATCCAGTAGTAACAATTTAAATATCTTAAGAAAACTAATAATTACAAGCTTTAACAAAAATAACCTCTAAAAGTATAGTGATTGCCCAGACCAGATAGTCATTGCCTCACGCATCACATAGTTATTGCCCACATAGCATTAACTGCTATAGTTACTAAATCTAGTTAAAAATATACCATATAAGCATTAATTCTTATTGTTTAGGAATGTTGACTAACATTAATCGTTAAAACAAAACAATGTCTCAAGTTTTAAAGACCTTATTTATTATTTGAGATCTTTTATAGCTTTCTGTACGTTAGTATACATTTCTAAACAATCAGAATCAGTGTCTTTAGCAGAATAAGAATCATCTACTTTATAGTAAAAATGACACAAAAACAAAAGAATATCTAATTCATCTGGCATGTGGTTTTTGTAATGTTCAGGAATACATTTTGAATAAAATGATTTGTGGCAGCAGCTGCCATTAATTTTATTTTTAAAAATTGTCTGCTTGCATACTACACAAACATACCCAGCGTGCAAAACCTGTTTTTCTTTTTACTCTAGTTTCTTCTTTTCTTTTCTTTCAGATTCTCCTTATATGATTGCCTTTATAGTAAAGCTAACTTGAATACGTCTGATGTAATAGCAAATGGTTGTCCTTCTGATGACAGACAGAAAGATAACCATTTGCTATTACATCATTTCCTTTTATTACCGGAGTTACAGGGTATGCTAAATAGTCCCAAAAAGATGAGTTAACTTTTTGTATTTGTAGACTTACTACACTAATAAAAGATTTGGGGAACAAATGGACTACAAATAATACCAGCAGCCGAGAAAGTAAATAAAATGACTATTGATTATTTTCCATTTGAATGTTCAATATTATAAACGTTTCTAGAACCATTTTCAGCTACAATTAGTCCTGCACACTGGCAAATATGAAAATTTGTCTCATCTATATTGAAAACTTGACTTAAGACTTGGCTTATTACTTTTTCATCGGCATAGCAATATTTCATGGAACCTAAATCTTTTTCAGATACACATGAGCTTGATTTTGTTCGAACACCTTCAAAACTCCGTATACTTAATTTTGGATGTCTCTTTAAAAATACTTTCCACTATCCAATGTCAGGCCTATTATTCACGAATGGATTAGGTCTTGGATTTTCCTCTAGAAATTTTTGAACACTGTTCAAAATATTTTCTTTATGCCTTGGAAAACCTTTTATATGAAGTTGTTATCCTGTCTTCAAGAATAGCTTCTTCAAAATAATAATTTTAGCAGTTAAAATTGGCACTGAACCCAAGCTGATTTTGTGTCCTGAATTATGTTAAAATATCAGCGTTGTCCTAGGAATTCCATATTTTTGAGCTATTTGTCGATCTGAAAACCTGTCTTTGTTATTTTGGATTTCGATGATTGCCCTCTTTAGGTTTTCCCGTTTGTATTTTAACTTGGTAACCTTCGGCATTCTATAAAGAACTAGATAATACTACTATGTAAATGTATTTAACAAAAATAATTTATATATAATTTATATTAATAAATTTTAATAGACATTGCCCGGGCAATAGCTGTACCCAATGCCAATGGCAATAACTAAATACTGATATGGCAATCACTAAAATTCATCTAAATAAGATTTAGTAATTGCCCACCCCATCTAACTCCTTAAGAGGTAAATTTTACATCACAATAACTTCTTGAAATTATAGTATAAAGCATTTACTAACTTATTCTCTATAGCAATAAGTTTAAAACGGAGCTAAGTTAACACAATAAATTAAAACAAAAAGTGTATCCTTAAGAAATTCTTTAAGAAACTTACTTTTTCCGATAATAGGCATACCTGTTGTCAACAAATATGCCATAACACTATGTTTTTCTTTAAATTTTGCCAATTTATTATTAAACGTTCTACTAGAGGATCTCTTAATGCCATCCAGCGAATTTAATTCGAATTAACTCCTTTATAAATAGGTTTAAATGTATCATCTTCTTACTGTGGGCAATATCTATACACTGGGCAATCACTGTAGGGTTTACCCTATAAAAAAATATAACTTTATACATTCCAACTGAACTAGTATGAATATATACTATTACAATATACTAGAAGAGCCCGCGGTTTCACCCGCGTTAAATTTCAATATAAAATAT